CTTCATATCGGAAGATCACTTCATTGGTTACCCGGGGCGAATCATTCGTCCCGAAATGGCGAGCACGGAAGAGATTAACTCGAAGAGACGGACCGACGAGTTTGCCTTGGACTGCCGCATTCGCGCGGCTTTTAAGACGGACGATATAATAGAGAGGTGGGCCGACAATATGGCCAGGAAAATACAGAACGATGTCCGTTGCCACGGTGCTCGAATACAGGACGCCATTTCTCGGCTCCAGGATAAATATCCTGACCCTGGTGCTGGGCTCCAGGACAAAGACTATTGACCTTTCCGTACTGCATGCGAAAAATATTGCGTCGCTGCAGCAACTGCTGCCAGGAGTGTAATACAATTCATGAACGATCGTAGGAATAACGATCCTGAACACGACGGTGAAGCCAAGATCGCGGGGCCACGTGCGCCGGCTGGACCAAAGGCCAGACCTTTATCGCGCCCTCCGCCTCTTCGACCTGGCATCTCAGACGCTCGGGTACCCGGAGAAGCCACCGAGTCCCCGCGTTCAGTCGCCGGCTCAGCCGTGACGACCAGGGAGACAAACCCACAACATCCCAACATGAGGGATCGGTCGGATTCACGACGCGCTCGCGATGGGGCCATGGATGCTGCCGCTGGCGCTGCCATGGATGCTGCCGCCGGCGCGGCCATTGGCGCTGCCGCAGGTGCAGCCGCGGGTGCTGCCAGCAGCGCTGCGGGCAACAGCTGCGAGTGCGACCCGTCCAGGTCCTACCCGCGCTACGTGAACGGAACCCTCGCTGGGTACTGCGTCCATCGGAGCAGGATCGCGTGGCTTACCGACGCCGGGCACATTCTGAATTACTGGCACCAGCTATCAACATGGGAGCGCAGCATCCGCTTCCGGCCAACAGGGACAGCACCGATGAGCGACACTGAAAGGGAAAGAGGGCGGTCTCGCACGCCTCGTGGCGTGGAAGTACAGACGGGAGGATCGGCGTCGTCAAATCCGCCGCCTCCGGCGCCGCCCAGACAAGAGGACGAGCACAACCCGTGGCAGGACCTGAACTGAGTTTCGCCCGCGTGACTCAGTCGCGGCAGGCGCGCGCAAGACAATTTACCCACGCGCGGAACGCGCGTTGGATGCGGACACCTCTGCTCGTCGGCTAAGCCGGCCCAGCGGAGATAATTTATTTATCACAATGGTGGGAAACGTCGAGCCTCTTCGGCCCTTGGCCCCCTGGCAGCCACCGTTGAGCTGTAAAAGCTTTTCGGGTTGGCTCCAGTGGTTGTACAAATGTACAGGCCGGGCGCGCTGTGGCTGGATGGGCTCTGCGCGGCCCGCCGCGGGGGGAGTGAATAAGCTCCTCTCCGCCTCATATTAATTTAAGACATAACTTTGTTTGCATGCATCGCACTGTCCGCTGGAACTGACAGCTGCGTTCCGCAGCTGTATGATTGCGCGGACAAGCCAGACTTGGCTTGCAGGAGAGAAAAGGGGCGCGCCAGCCTTCGGCCGTCGTGCGTCGTCGGTCGTAGGCCAGCCGGCCTCCTCCCTCTTCGTTCCTGCGAGAGTAGTCTTGCTTAGCGGATACTTGTCTTATCAATGTCTCATCCCGTCCCCCCTCTCCCTGAGCAGAGTGAACATGAGATCTTAATTCCTCTGTCATCTTACCCCGATTCTCAGAGGAAAGAGTAAGATACGCCAGAGCTTAGATGAAGCTAAGCTAAGACAAGATGAGATAAGCTAAGCCAAGATGAGATAAGCAACTTTAAGCTAAGGGAACGTCACTGGGGGAACCGCGGGGCGGATCCTGGGGGAACCGCCCGGGGCGTGGAACACTGCCCGGCCCTTTAAGCCAACGCGGTAAGAACCCTTTTAGGCAGAGCTTAGGTAGGGAATAACAGCAATCGGACAGACCGCCAGGGCCATCACGGAAACTGCGCACCAGAAGCCACGAGGTATATCACGCGACGATTCTGGCACAGAGGGGCCGCCTGACCCAGGCGCGGTCAGTCTTCTCCTTGCAGGGCCGAGCCCGACGGGAAGAAACAAGGATGATCACCACATTGGTGCACAAGAGGACCACAGTGAAGGTGCGCAGCGCTGCCGCGGCAGAGGTGGCTTCTTCGCCCAATAGTATATCCCAGCGATATCGCGGAAAAGGAAGAGGATGAAGGGCGCCGCGTGGAGCGGGCCAAGCCTGTGGATTGCTTGGCGACGGGCCGCCAGCTTTCGAGGGACATGCGGAACCCAAGAGGATAGAGGGACGTGAGCGCCTTCATCGCCGTTGCACAAGAGTTGGATCTGGCGCAGCAAGATTATGATTTGTGGTCGCAGTGGTGCGAATACCCCATGCCGTGGGCTCTGGCGGGGAGCCGCAAACGCGCATTGCAAACGCAACAACTGCTCGATGTCCGACGCACCTTGTTGTGTCTGCACCCCGCCGCGCGGGTGTGACGGCCACCGGTGGCTGGAAAGCGATTCCAGCCAGGCAGTACGGGCCCGAGGAACCATGGAGATGATGATGATGATGATGATGATGATGATGATGATGATGATGATGATGATGATGATGATGATGATGATGATGATGATGATGATGATGATGATGATGGTGATGGTGATGGTGATGGTGATGGTGATGGTGATGGTGATGGTGATGATGATGCTGCTGATGATGATGATGATGATGATGATGATGATGATGATGTTGCTGCTGCTGCTGATGAGGATGATGATGACGATTACGATGGTGGTGATGACGATGACGAACATAATGATCAGGATGATCATGCTGATCATGGTGATCATGATAATGAGGAGGAGGACAAGGAGGAGGAAGAGGATTGACGGCGGGGAAGGGGATGGCCCAAGCGCGTGGCATTTGCTCCTGGATCGGACTCTGGAGCTTCCAAGGAAACCCAGCGAGGCTCCCAAGAGGGCTCCAGCACGGACCCCCGGAGGACTATCCGTGGGCACGGTCGAGGTGCAGAACCCCCAACCACTCTCCCATCATGCCCTTGGAAAATCACGGCCCCCCCCGGTCGCCGTCGTCGGCGTTGGCGTCGGCGTCGTCGTCGTCATGGTGCGGATTCGCATTCATTGCACGGTGTCGTTCCAGGGGTGCGTTCCCGAGGTGCACCACGACTGTCGAAGGTAACCACCATCCGTGGTCTGCTTTGACACTTTTTGCGCGGTGGTATTCCAGGGGGCGCCCCGAGATGCGCAACGACTTATGAAAATAACGGTTGCCCAATTGTTGGTTTTCACAGTTATTGCGCCGTGGTCGTCGACAGTAGCGATGTTCAATGATGTGTTGTCCCATTTATTGCGCGGGGTCCCAGAAACGTATCAGTTTATGTTGAGGCAAAAGAAAAAGAGAGAGAGAGAGGGAGAGCAAAGGAAAGTATCACAAGTTCTCATAAGCTCGGTTTGACAATCCACCGGGTGGGTGGGTCACCCGTGCGGCGCTCGTTACACAAAGGGAAACGTATGGAGTAGGAGCGCACAACTTCATGTTGAGTTCCAGAGCCCAAGTGAAGCAATTGGTTGTTCTCAACACGTTTTCGGTTGATCCACCCACGCGTTCGGTGTGTGCGACACAGAGGTACGCGTACGGAGTATGAAAGCACCAAGTCATGTTGACGCCCAGGATCCAAGTGACACAGTTGGTTAGTTTCGATCATATATTGGGTTAGCCGCACGATGGTGGGTCACCCGTGCGGTGTGCGCAAGACAGGGGAATAGCATGGAGCAGAAGCGCACCACTGCATGTTGATAACCAGAATGCAAGTGAACAAATGTTGTCAACAAATTTTCAGTGAGCCGTTCCGCTCGCTGGTTGGTCACCCGTGTGGCGCGTGTTACACAGGGGGGGCGCACGGAGTAGGACTGCACCAGTTCTTGTTGAGGCCCAGCGAGCAAGTGAAACAGTTGGTTGTTCTCAACAAGTTTGTGGGTGATCCACCGCTGGTGGGTCACCCGTGCCGTGCGCGCCACACAGGGGAACCGTACAGAGCACAGTTACAAGTTTCATTGTAGCCTGGGCCTGCCCAAACAGTATTCTGGTGTCCTGTGCATCGCGTGTCGTGTCCTCTGCATTCTCGGGACAATGGTGCCCTTAGTATCTCCTGGTTTCCGCGGGTGTCACGGGCTTGGCCCGCGGCGTTCTGCCCGTAGGGATGCGCATTGATGTGGCGTTACGGGCCATGTCGTATTTGGGGCGTCGGTTCCGAGTACGGAGCCGTTGCGTTTCGCTTCAGACACGTGCCCCGATTGGCTCTCTGGGTTAGCAAAAGGAAATCCAAAGCTGCACTTCCTTCTCCTCTTCCTCTCTCCTCCCTCGCCTCGCTCATCCCTGACTCCCCGGCCTCGACTCCCCTCTTTTTCGTCTCCTCGTCACATCCGGGGCCTCCTCCTCACCCGGCCCTGGCCGTGCACCTCCTGAGCCAACAATCGGTACCCATGCCCTCCTGGTCTGACCAGGAAGGCAGCATACACCGATCCTCCTCCTTCGTCCCTCCTCCCCCTCCTCCTATTCCTTCGTCCCTCCTCCCCTTCCTCCTCCTCCTCCTCCTCCGCCACCTCCTCCTCCTCCTCCTCCTCCTCCTCCTCCTCCTCCTCCTCCTCCTCCTCCTCCTCCTCTCCCTCCTCCATCCTACCTGTTCCCCCCTCCCTCCGTCATCCATCCTCCTCCGCTTCCCTCCTCCGTGGTCCAGTGACCCCCCCCTCCCGTTATCTTACGGCCCCTGGGTCTGGCGAGTGCCCACAGCGGCCAGGCAAAACGAAAAACCGTTCGTCGTGTTTTACACGACGCAGAGGGGTCTGGGTTGTAGCTTGCGCATCTTGGGGCAATCGAGCAGTAACAAACCAAAAACAGCATGGCGGCCCCCCCCGCCGCCGTCCTCCTCGCCCTCCTTCTCCTCGCCCTCCTCCACCGTCTCCTCCTCCTCCTCCTCCTCCTCGTCCCCGCCTCCTCTCCCTCTCGTCCTCCTCGACCGGCCCCCTCCCCGCCCAACAGGGCGGCGCGCGCCGGCAGCCCCTGCTCGGCAGCCTGGCGCTGCAGCTGGGGGAAATTGCGGCCCGCCTGTTCCCAGGGCAGAGGCTGCCGCTGCTCCCTCGCCTCCTCCTCGGGGCGGCGGGGGGCGAGGTGGAGGGGAGGTGGAGGGCAGGCGAAGGAGAATGAGGACGAGTAGGAGGAGGACGAGGAGGAGGAGGAGGAGGAGGAGGAGGAGGAGGAGGAGGAGGAGCCCCTCAGCCAGCCCTTCCACAAGTGCGAGTTGTGCTCCATCGGGGTGGGCCGGTGCCCCCCAGCCGGCTCTTCCACAAGTGCGAGGTGTGTTTCATCGGGGTGGCTGCTCCAGGAAGGAGTTTCTTGCGCCTCGTGCTACGGGCCTGGAGAAGGGGCCCCTTTAGGGCACATGCCGCCGCTGCTACCCCGCCTGCTCGGGGGGGGGCGGGGGGGCGAGACTGAGGGGAGGGGGAGGGGGAGGCGAAGGAAGGGTGAGAGTGGTCACCCATTTGGAGGAACGTTCGGAGCAATGCTCGGCTGTCGTCATGGGGACTTGCAACAGGCTGCCGGACGGTGTTCTTACTGACCTTAGTCGGAAGGAAGCCAAGGACGCCCGCGAGCGAGCCAGAAAGGGGCAGAAGTCGTACCACGCTGGTGATCCAGTCGGCCAGTTGGAAGGCAAATGGAAGCAGAAGTTGGACGAGTATCGACAGGACGAACAGGAAGTCTCGGGTCTTACTTCTCTACCGTGAAGGAGGGATCTGGAGTGACCCAGGGGCCTTCGCCCCAAAGGCCTGCCCGTGGTCAGATGCTGGTCTGCACCATAAGAGCACTCCTGAGATCAGGCCAGGATCCGAGCAGCAACCATCACCCCGAGGGGGAGTTCATACACCGCCTTGTTGGGGGCAGCCTCGGGGCAGGTCGGACAGGACGCTGGCGCCAGCTCTCGCTGGACCAACGGACGGCCTGCTTTCTGCGCTTGCCTTCCGCACGGGGCGCGCTAGGTTGGGCACCGTGGAGGCGGCCGACAGCTTCCGTGCGTTGCGGTTCTACCAGGTTTCCTGCGGGCAACCTGGGTGTTTCCCAGCCCCCCCCGCTCGCGTGCACGCCGTCCCCGTTCGCTTCCTCCTTCTCCTGCTCCTCCTCCTCCTCCTCATCCTCTTCCAGCCGCTGTGGGCCCTGACCGCTCGCCGCTTGCGAGCGGGGGTTTTGCTTGTACAAATTTCAGAACGGCACGCTGCACAAGCGAGCCAAGCATTGCCAAGATCCCCGCTCCAACAAGATGGTTCCAGTCACGCCGCCATGGCAATCGCGGGCGAGACCCGTCGAGACGCTCAGCGGGGGCAGCGTGTGGACTGGTGGTTCAGCAAACAGAATGGCGGCAACGGCAGTTATGGCGACGGAAGTAACTGTGGCGGAGGCAGGTGAGGCGGAGGCGGCCAAGGCGAGCGGGGCACCGAGACCGTCGTCCTTTGGAAGTGCTTGCGCTTTCATGCGGGAAGAACTTTGGGAGCTACTGGTTCTGCGAACGTTGCAAGGCCCCTCGAGCCCCACCCACAGAGTTGTTCGACAACAAAGTGGGGGCCTGGGCCAGCGGGCTGCCTGCCCTGGCCCCAGGGCCTCAACCCATCCAGACATGCGAAGCGCTGCCAGAGGCAGAGCTGGAGCGCATGGTTGAGCTGGCCAAGATGTTCAGCGACGTATCATCAGCTCGAGCGACTCATGTCATCGAACAGTGATCCGAAGGAGAAACCGCCGCAGCAGCATGCGACCCTCGCGCACCAGCGAGTCCAGTTCCTCGAGAAGAAGCTCAACAAGCAGCTCGAGCAGCTCGAGAAGTGGATGGCTTGGTGTGACGAGAAAAACAGCGTGCGCAGTCAAGAAGTTGTCACTGGAGCTGGAGGAGGTGGACTTGTGGCACAAGCAGCTCGTGGGACAGCAGCACAGGTGTGCACGCAAACAGGGCCCAAGTGTTTTCCTGTGGGTCTAAGTGTCGCTACGTTCGCGACGGCAAGTTGGATCTCTCGAGTTCTTGGGCGCTGGGGGTTACTCGGCGTGCCAGAGGACGAGTCCGTGGTCACTGACACGGGAAACGATCCGAGCACAGTATATGCCTACCACTACAAAGACCGAAAACAATCTACAATGCGATTTGGTGCAGTTCTGCTCTGGCGAAAAGCCCGCAGTCCCCCTCCCGCCGCCAGCTGCAACCAGGCTGCCCCCTCTCTTTTATGGACCGAACAAGAATTCATCAAAGCACGCGCGGGGGTGGTGTACAAAATTTGGATTACCAAGAGGAGCGATTCTTTTGCACCGCCACCAAGAAGTGTTGTTTCTGCTTCAGTGCTGTTTCTGCTTCGAGAACTCCCCATGCCACGGCGCCTGCGAGCTGCGCCGCGCTCTTTTTCGCCGTGGCGTCGCAGCGCTGTCTGGCATGACCCTGCCCCTATCCTTTTTTGCGGTAAAGTATTGTTGCTGGCGGTGGTGGCGCATTAAAAAATGCCTCGCAAATGAGGAGCTCAAGAAGAGGATATCCGACCTAGAGTCCAAAATCGCTGAGATCACGGGTCAGGCGCGCGGCGGCACCGTGTCAAGTATCGACGATATCAAGCAGCGGCACCAGTAGCACGTCGATCGCCTGTCCAAGGAAAAGCGGAAGACCGACGGGGGCCAAGCAAGGCATGCGATTAAGTTCCCCGCGGGGGCTGGAGCTGCCTCCAGCGCCGGCAGCGGGGGGCGACGGGGGCAGCTACGGCGGCGGCAGCAACCAGGAGCAGGCGATTCCCGACAGCGAGCGCGCCGTGCCGCGCATCGGAGACCCCCCCCCGCGCCTGCAGCCGCGCCGACCACGTGGCGGAGATGCGGGGGGGGCATCTGAGGAGGCTGCTGAGGCCCGCTGGCAGCCCAGTTTGCAGTTGGCAGCGCCCCTGGGAGGCGACTTGTTCAAACCTGGCCATGAGGGGCATTCGAGTCAGCGCTCGAAATGCTCTCGGCCAGTTTTGCCGCGGCCCTGCCATGTTCCGCCCCCCCCGGGCCAGACGTCGAGCCCAGGTCCTTGAGTAGTGGTCTCGGGGATCCTGAATTGGTCGCGGAGGCGGCCCGCGTCGTTCCTCGGGGGTCGGTCAAAGCCTGGCCGCCGAGGCCGGAAGCTCGCATCATCGTGCTCCAGGAGCGCCGGTTGGCAGGGCCAGACCAACGAGGCCTCGAGCTGGGCCGCCCGCCATGGCTGGACATCTCGATTCGGCAAACCTATATGTGCGTGTGTGTGTGTGTGTGTGTGTGTGTGTGTGTGTGTGTGTGTGTGTGTGTGTGTGTGTGTGTGTGTGTGTGTGTGTGTGTGTGTGTGTGTGTGTGTGTGTGTGTGTGTGTGTGTGTGTGTGTGTGTGTGTGTCTGTGTCTGTGTGTGTGTGTGTGTTTGTGTGTGTGCGTGTGTGCGTGTGTGTGTGTGCGTGTGTGTGTGCGCGCGCGTGTGCGTGTGTGTGTGTGTGTGCGTGCGTGCGCGCGTGCGCGTGTGTGTGTGTGCGTGCGCGGGGGGGGGGGGGGGGCTCTGCAGCGCCTGGATGGGTTGCGATCCAAGCGCGCGCGTTCTTGAGGTTCCTCGACACTGAACAGGGGCCCCGGGTTTATCCTGGGACGGCCCCTGGTTGATCATGGGAGGGCGATGGAACGTCGGGCGCAGATTTCCGTGGGCGATCCGATTCGCTGCACGTCCATCTACCTCAGGGGTTCCGAAGTTCCGAGGGCTTGTCCACTGAGGGCTTGAAAGTGATTGCTAACATCGGCGCCCTATGCTCAGCGCGCGCCATTGACGGCGACTCCGACGCGGGGCCGACGGGGCTCCATGACAGCGGGGCGAGGTCTGGGATTGGGCCTGCGCGGCGGTCTCAGGAGGGTTGCCCACGCGCGTTCGTTCGACTGAGCTCGCACTCGAAAGCGACATTGAGACCCGAGAGCCCATGCAAGTTCATTTTCACCCGCAGTTCGTGGGCGCGCAGCGCCGCGCTTTTGCCGGGCCCCCGACCGCCCCCGTGGAGGCCCCGATGGGCCCAGCACCTGATCCCCCTTCTCGGGGCAGGCGGGGCCCCGAGTGGCCGGGCTCAGCGCCGTCTGGACCTGATTAACAAGCAGTGGGCCAATCTTGCCGAATTTGAGCTCTGTCGGCAGATTTCGGATCGCGCAGCAGGGCGCAGGGGTAGGCCGCCACAAATTGGTTTGGTTTGGATATTGGTTTGGAAACAGGCGCAGCAGCCCATCTTGCACTCGCTGCGCTGGCTGGAGAGCGCGCTCCGCCTGTTTGTCGGCCTGCTGCAGGAGTCGCAGTCGGGATCAGCCCCGACGAGGAGGCCCCTGTTGCCGCAACCTGTATTTTTTTTGTTGCATAGCCAAGTTCCTTCAGCGCATGTCTTTCGGAGGGAGGCGGACAGGGCGCGTCTCGTCGCGCCTGTCCCGCGGAGGGCCCAGCGCCAGCGCCGGCTTGCTCTGCAGCGCCACCCGGCGCTCTGACAGCTGGCGCCGAGCGCGCCGTCTTCGAGGCGTTCGAGGTGCTCTGGGGGGCCCTCCAGAAGACGTCGGCAGGCGCATCCCTGGGGGATTTCGTGGGCTTGTGCGGCGCTGCGAAGGTGCTAGATGAGATCTCCGATGAGCTAGGTGCGCATCCAACTAGGGCCAAGGGGGGTTGGCGCACAACCATCGAAAGGCGCGGCTCCTTGGGGGCATCCAGACGAGGGGCAGGGCGAGCTCGTCGTTGACTAGGTAACCATTGGAATGGCCCTCCCGCGAGCACACTTTCGGCTTCAGGAGCGGCGTTGTCAGACCCCGAGTCTGTGGTCCAGAGCGAGGCCTGTCCACGGGGCAAGTTTTGGCGAAGTGGGGCAGTCTGGATACCCAACAGGACTACATCCAGCCCCTGGGGCTCCCTTGTCCGAAACTCATTCGCGAGGTCTCCCGCGGCAGCAAGTCTGCTTCCGCGGTCTCCCTGGGCGGGTCCCACACGAATCTCTTCGCCTCCTTGTCTGGCGGGGTCTTGTTGACGATGGTTACAACGATGAGCATCATGGACCCATCATGGAGTTGAGGGCGCTGGTCCCGCGCCAAGTGAAGATCGTTATTGCGCCGCTTCTTGAGAAGCCATCTGGAGGCCGGCAACCCATGGCCCTTTTTTTTGCCCCTGCTATAGTCTGCGGGGCAAGCTCACGCGACCGCTCGCTTCGCAATGGGAACATCAGCCTCCTCGCGCGTACGTCGCAGTGGGGATGCATGCGGGGGCAGCGGACGCGGCGTTGGCGGTGAGAGCAGAGTTGGCGGTGAGAGCCGAGCCAGGAGCCAAGGGAAACATGCGCGGTCTGGTCAAGTAGAACGCAGGGCACTGTGGGATCTGACAACGTTTTACGGTTCCGTAGATCCGGCTGCATTCGGCAGCCGCGCGGAGTTTATGGATCGATTGTGTTCAGAGCGGGGTTTTGGCACGGTGTTTATTTGTGACGTCATATGGGAAGGTAGACGTTATTCCGACGGTGGATCAGATCGCGGCTGCCTCATACATGGCTACGGTATATCATCGATTGGAAGAAGACGCGCGGTCACTCAGGGCATCGCACAGCTCTCTCTCTCTCTCTCTCTCTCTCTCTCTCTCTCTCTCTCTCTCTCTCTCTCTCTAGGGTTGACGGCGGAGACCAAGTCCAAGGATGCGCCAGGCGAGGCATCCGCCGCCAGTTCGTCGGTCGAAGTAGGAGCGGCAGCGCGCGAAGCGTTAGGCCGAAATCGAGGAGATTCGCTTGCCGAGCCCGCCGTCCGCCGGCTGGAATGAGGACCCTGACGTCGCTGCTCATCGTGCGAGGGGCCCTTTTTGGTTTGGAGCCGCGGCGCCAGCGGTTCGATATGCCGGCGAGGCGCGCGCCGCGCAGAGGCGCCAGATTGCGCGCATCTCGTTCTCCAGGGCCCCGCGAGAGGAACGGCGGCCCGCTTTCGAAGGCGAGATTTTGTCGACCGCGCGCGCCCCCGCGCAAGTGAAGCGACGGCTCAGGGGCGGCGTCTCGAGGCAGCTCGGCGGGGATGCGGGGGCGAATGTTGACATCCAGGTCGGTTTGGCCACGGCGTCGTTGCCGAGCCCCTCCGTCCCAAACAGTCCAATTGTTTCGAGATTGGCTGCGTCGAGTCGTTAACGCGCGGAGCGCTATGGACTCGATGCAGGGCCCTCTGCTTAGGCCGCTAGCTGCAGTCGCCCCAGCGTCCGCTCTGCGAGCAGCGGCCACAGCGGCGTTCGGCCTACAGCGATCTGCGAGAGGAGCTCGTCGACCAATCGATCATCGGAGAAGCGCTTGTTCTCGGTCACGAGAGAACTAGGGAGACGCTTCTGCTCACGAGTTGTATCTTCGCTCGCCCAGGGTATAATCGACCGCGGCCTTGCAGTGAAGAAGGTACCCAGGTTCAGCGACATGACGATAGCCTTCCAGGAGATCCAGGGGAGGTCTCGGCCGTGGTCTTCATGGGTTGTTCGTGTGCGCGGCGTCCTATTAGAGAGTTTCGCAGGGCCTCGTAGGGATGTGTGCAGGTCGCCGGGGGGGGGGGGGGTGCTCGACCAATTGTTTTTGTGTCTGGGCTTGTTTGGGAACCGCTGCCCCGAACTCTCCAAGCTGGAAAGTTAAGAGCAGCGGCCATGTTTGCCAATGGCGTCTTCGTGGCCCGCGCAGGGCTTTTCTAATGGCAAGAATGCGGTATGCCTGTAGCATCTTCCCCATTCAGAAAAATTATGTTTTTTAAGCGAATGCATGCCCGCACCATGATGCTTGCGCAGTCTCCAGTTCTCTTGAGCCCTCAAAAGGTGAAGGCCCATGCTGCGGATGACCCCGAGCTGTCGGAGACGCAGATATGGGGCGCATAAGGCAACGACGCGGCAGACTTCGCAGCGAGGTCCGGCGCCGAGTCCCACCCAAAAGGCACTCCAGCGGAGCTGGATGAAGTGGCCAGGCACATTTGAGTTCCCAGCGTTGCGTGCATGCGTGCTGCCAGACTATTGCCCTGTTGATCTGCCCTCGACTTCGCTGGATGTCCGTGTGCCAGACCCGAATTGAAAGCCAAACCAGATGTGGCCGCTGCCGCCAGGAAGCACGTTCTAGAGTGGCGTCGCACGTTCTAGCGCTGCGCAGTGTGTTTGGAAGTACGCAGGCAGAGTCAACTCGTTTATTGGGGGATTCCGATGCCGCCGGCAAAGGTATCCACAGGTCGCCTTCCGCGTCAGCTGAGTGAGGAGGTGGCGAGCAAATGGTATAACCTGCCTTGTTTCCAGTGCTCGGGCGGGTTGCCATTTTTCAGCTGCTTGCGTTGCAAAGCTCTCGACGCGTGGCTCTTCAATTTTCTCGCTACTCCCTGCACGCACCGTTCCGAAACGAACCTGGCGAGGTGGAGGTACAGTGTGTGTACGGGGCGCCGCCCTCGACTCACCAGTGCCTGGGCTGAGGCCGCGCCAGAGTATGACAACGGTGCCTCACAGGCTTCAGAGCCTCCCAATAAGGAGGCGGGTGAGGCCCCAGAGCAGGCTGGTCTGAGACAGAACGGGGATCCGCTCGGAGTGGGGGAGGGCGAGGCTCCTCAGCGAGGTGCTCGCGCAACCGCCGTGGAGTCTGGTGGCTCCGAATGACCTCTGGCTCACGGTTGTTTGGGCTGTGCGTCCCGTTAGTCGCCGCTGGAGGTTATTGTTCCATTGACGAGCGAATTTGCTGCGACAGCCGTGGTCACTGTTGAAACCCCCTGCACCTCCTCCTGCTCCTCCTCCTCCTGCTCCTGCTCCTCCTCCTCCCTCCTCCTCCTCCTCCTCCTCCTCCTCCTCCTCCCCTCCTCCTCCTCCTCCTCCCCTTCCTCTTCCTCCTCCTCCTCCTCCTCCTCCTCCCCTCCTCCTCCTCCTCCTCCTCCTCCTCCCTCCCCCCCCTCCTCCTCCTCCTCCTCCTCCTCCTCCTCCTCCTCCTCCTCCTCCTCCTCCTCCTCCTCCCCGTCCCCTCCTCCCCCTCCCCCTACTCCTTTTCCTCCTCCTCGATCCCCTCCTCTTCCCCCCCTTCCTCCTCCTATTCCTCCTCTTCCTCCTCCTCTCCTCCTCCTCCTCCTCCTCCTCCTCCTCCTCCCCTCCTCATCATCATCGATATCATCATCATCATCATCATCATCATCATCATCATCATCATCATCATCACATCATCATCATCATCATCATCATCATCATCATCATCATCATCATCATCATCATCATCATCATCATCATCATCGATATCCTCATCATCATCATCATCATCATCATCATCATCATCATCAGCATCATCAGCATCAGCATCAGCATCAATCATCACACATCATCATCATCCTCCTTCTCCTCCTCCTCCTCCTCCTCCTCCTCCCCGTCCTCCCTCTCCCCCTCCCCTCCTCCTTTTCGTCCTCCTCCTCCTCCTCCTGATCATCCTTCCACTTCTCCCCCTCCTCAATCTCCGCGGCGGTCATCGAGAATAAAAGAGCGCCTCACCGTAATAGCACAATGGAGACGGAGCTCAAACGATGTCCCCGGTTTCGCAGTGGGATCGTCAGCCTTGGTGGGTCGGTTTGGTACATTTGCTGAGAAGACCCCCTGTTCCTGGTGTTCGGGGCCTCTTAACTCAGATCCGCCCCCAGAGGGTCGGGGGTCCTTTGGTTGACAGTCATGCGGGGCCCCGTTCGGCGGCGAAATCGATCAACGACTCAGGGAACTCGACGGGCGGCGGGGGTAAGGCTCGGAATCCGTCGACCGCGCGGCGAAATCGGAGCCCCGCCACCGCCTCCCATCGGTCCTGGGAGAGTCGATGGCTGGCGGGGGTGGGGCTCGGACGTCGCCACCTGCCCGTGCGGAGGCCCCTGCTGCGGCCGCGGAGGGCCATGCTCGCGGTGTACGACGGCGGCGGCGCGAGGCGGCCACTGGTGGGGGGAGTGTGGCGGGCTCGCGTCGTGTCGACTCGGGGGCAGCGTCAGGGGGGGTCGTGCTCAGGGGGACAGTCGTACGGCAGGTTTGTGTCGCGCCGGCGTAGCTCCGACCCCGCAGCGGGCGTTCAAGGTGGAGCGCCGCAGGTGGCCCAGAGCCGGCCATGTTGCAGCGATCCTTGCGAGCGAAAGACCGCGGATCGTTCGAGGTCGAGCGATCCGCGCGGTGTCCGAAACCAAGGGCGCCCTCGAGGGCGCGAAGTTCTTCGCGCTTCGCGGTTCGGCTCCGATTCCCCCTCACCCTCCACTTCTCCCCTGGGAGGCGGCGCGAGAGCGCGAAGTTATTCGCACTTCGCGCTTCGCGCAGCGCGAAGCGCGAAGCTGGGAGCCCTTGGAAACCAGCGCCGGGGCCGTCACGGCACGAACTCGCCGTAGGACTTTTGCAGGCACGATCTGAAGGATTCGGGGGCAGCGTTCGGGGAGGGGAGGGGGGGCGACGCGCCGGGCCTGACGTTTTTCAGGAGGGAGAGAAACACTGACACAATTAATCGTCGACTCCCAGGAAAATACGGGAAAATATGGGAAGTGGGGGGGAAGTCAAAAACCCAGAAAATATAGTAAAATATGGGGAATCCGGTTATTTGTGCATATTTATTTGTGTGTCCCAGGGCCCCTTCAATTTTGGAGAGTGTTCGTCGGTTCTCGACGGTTTTCCAGCCTCGGGGTGCTTTCCAGCAGCTGCGCCTCGCGCCGATCTATCGGCGATGTATCGCCGACTCCAGGTGGATGGTTCTCCCCTGAGGTGGTCCCCCGAATGCTTAACGCTCCACCCCTGAAGATGTCATCAGAGGTTTACCGGAGGTATTCTGGGCCCGGGACGGCTTCCATCAGGTGCACTTTGTCGAGGGCGCTCCGTGGATCAGAGGAGGGCAAGTTGAGACAACGGCACAGTCAACCCGGATACTAAGGATGAGCGACTTTCTAAGGTTACCCTTGCATCCTTCTCCTTCGACCCGTCCTTGGCCGCTTTCGCCGGCCGCGCCCCGCTCGCAGAGTGCCGACATGGCTTTCCAAGGCCCTTGCATCATCACCGCGCCTCCTTATTATACGGGTTGACTGTAGCTGTCCTTCGGGGGGCCCCTCGTCGCCACGGCTGGACGTAGCTTGGACAATTTGCGCGCTTGGACCCCGGGGGTCCGGGGACTGACTTTCAGCTGCCGCTGTCTCAGCTCGCCCTCCTTCGAGTGGACGCCCGAAGTGTCCTAATCGCTGTCGGCCGCAGGAGGTCCGAGTTGGGCGGACCGAGCGCCAGCTGGCGCGCACATGCGGCAGGTCCGCGCCGCGTCGACGCGGCGGTGACCCCGGCGCGGGTGTTCCAGGTGCATCAGGAGGGAGAGAACACAGACACATCATTGTCGACTTCCCCCCGGAAATATGGGAAAAGATCGGATTTGGGGGGGAATACGAGACTCAAGGACAAATATTGAACTATTGGGAATCCTGGGATGTGGGTATTTATCTGTGTGTCCCTGGGGCCCTTCGGTGTGGCGCTGCCAGTGGCCCAGAAGGGGCCGACGTCGAGCGATCCTGCGCAGTCGGGGGGCCGCGGCCGCCAAAGGTCGGGGGATCCTGAGCGCGTTCCACTGCTCGCCAATTCGTCACGAACGAGCGTTGCGGCGTTGTGCGATGCAGTGGAGCCCGGTTGCCTCGACGCAATGGATCCAGGCCACCTGCGAGTGGCTGCTTTGAGAGAAGTGGAACGCGCCGCTTCGGTCATCATCCATCACGCCACGCGCCTGCTGAGCGGGCGTGTGTGGTGTCCCCTCCCGTATGCTTCTCCTCTCCCGCCAGGGTACATGTTGCTTCGATCGGTCTTCAGTTCGGTGACGATGTTCTTCCGGCCGACCCGATTCCCATGCTTCGACGGTCCGATCTTGCCCGAGGTTTGCATGGCGCTGTTCTGCAGCCTGTCGCGGCAGATCCGATTCGACTTCGACTCCGTATAGATGCAGCCCAACCCGAGACACATTTCGATTCGATCTCCCGATTCGATTATGATTGATCTTCCCTCTACTTCCTTTCCGTCGTCGTCGTCCTGAACTCCCTCGTCATCCAAAGGCAAGGAAGAAGGAAGGAAGGAGGAAGGAGGAAGGAGGAACGCGGGGCGCTATCTCTTCAAAACGGGGACCAACACCACAGGGGTGTTGGGGAATAAATCAATCACCCGAGAAAAAATAGCTCCACCTCACAGCGAGACGATCAGTGCCACCCAGCTGCATACTGAGTGTATTCGAGCAGGGCAGCGCGGTGCACTTGTAAGGGGACGGGGGTGGTGCGACAAAGACGTGACCGCGTCGAGGTCGTGCCTCGAGCGGCCAGAGACGTGCTTTTTGGCATGAGGGGGCGGCGGATTCAAACGAGGCGCCGCGACACCAAACCAACGTCTATCCATGTCTGGCCTCTTCGCTGAACCTTCACAGGAGGCGGGAAAGGGCGCCAGACAGCGACCTCAGGGTGTGTGGGGGGGGAGGGATTTTCGGAGGACGCGCTCAGCTCCCAGGAAACGCGCAAGAGACCTATCCGACCAGCAGCCGAGCGCACGCAAGGATGTCGGCGCACGGGCGCGATAGCCCAGCGCGCTCCGTCGCTCTGGCAGCCCCAGGAGCCTCCCCCTTGTCGCCTCGTCGTTCGTTCCCCCCTCTGTGTTCGCGTCCTCGTCGTCGCCTTCGTCATCGTCGTCCTCCGAATCGCGCGGGGTTCCCGAAGATCATGCAGCACCCGCCAGCAGAGGAGCATGCGAACAAGACCCAGCGCGCACAGGGCGCGGCGGCGGCCACGCCGCCCTCGGAGAGCACGCCCCGGGCGCGCCCGGAGCGCGCCGCGCGACGGAACCACGCCTGAACGCGGACGCCAAGCGCTCGCCGCGGAGCTTCGCTCCATGGCGTGCGCTTCAGTGGCCTTCCGCGTAGCGGCCAGAGCCGGCTGCGAGGGCCAGGCACCTGCCAGCAAGGTTCACCAGCCACGATTCCGAAGTCTGGACGCATGCCAGTTGCCACGGCGTCCGTCGCGCGGGGCTGCGGGCAGGGGGCTTCCCAGGGTCCCGGCGCGGGGCGGTGACCGCGGCTCTTCGTCGCCAGCCGCAAGCACAATGAGCTGCAGCAACTTAGGGTCTCTCGGAGTTCTGCGCGGATTCCGTGGATCGGCCCTGGGCCCCCCTGGCGGCGCTCCCGGCGCTGCGCCTGGCGCGATCCGCGCGCCGGGGAGGGGGATCCAGCGCTGATCCAAGAACTCCGCGCGGACCCCCGATCAATTGTGGTGATGCCGTTTTTCGTTCCTGTGTGAACTAGCTGTTTGTCGGTCACGCGCAGAGGGAAGGAGGGGGAGGGGGGATGGCTTCGTAGAGGGAGGTTGCTTCTTCGAAGGCGCTGGCCTTCACTATAAATGGAAGGCCCCTTCTAGGAAGCGGCTCCCTTCGAAGAAGCCTTCCCCCCTCGCCCTGCCCCACTCTGCGCTCCGCCAGGTCAGGGCTGGAAGTGCGTCCCCAGCAGGACCAAGCAGGTCCAGTCTTCTGCGCCCCCGCGCCCCCTGCCCGCGCCCCCACCTCTCCCTGGGCCCTCCCCGGAAGGTATGTGCGGCACCGGGACAACGAGCTCGAGCAGGGCCGCTGGATGAACTTCCGCTCCGTCACGGCCATCTGCTATCAGCGGGGGCTCGCGCCGCGCGGCAGAGTAGTTAGCCGGGCTTCCGCCCCGTGTTTTGGCAAGTCGGCCTCACGACGCGAGAAGAGCTGGGCTCCTTCTCGCGGTCTCCCCGGGCCCTCCTCCTCGCAACTTTTCGCTCGGAGGACGGCCAGTTGCGGCCGTGGCGGCCGAATCCGCTCAAAGTCCGACCCTGGACCCCTCCCGGGGTCCATCCTGATCCGTTTCCGAGGCGGTTCCAGCCGTGGCGACGAGGAGCTTCCAGGGGGCCCGGCGCGGATGCAAAACGCCGGGGTGGCGCCGTTGTCTCGACCGCCTCTCCTCCGACCTCTCTTTCGTAGCAGTCGGAGTCGAAGCCGACCTTCTGGTGCGCCGAAGGGGGGCAGCCGCGGAAGGCGGGGGGGGGCTACCAGGGAACGCAGTGACAGAAGACGAGGAGCCGTGAACCGGGACACCGTGTGGTGAGTCTCTGGAGATTCGGGGTTATTGCACGGCTTCGGGACTGGGGTCGTTCTCCCAGGACTCCTCGGGTGATGGCGGCTTCCAATGCCCCACGACCGCGAGGCGACGGACCGTGTAGTGAGGTATTCTTGGGCACTCCGACATCACCGCGCGGTTTGTCGCCTCACCGTTTCGGGACCCCCAGATGAAATCCTGGACAGATCATGGCCCTGGCCGGTGTCTCGACCCACGAGCGGAACACTTGGCCGTGTTGCAACGCCCTCGCGGGCCAGGCGACGGGGCCGGGGACATTGTTTTTCTTGTTTTCGTAGATGCTCCCGGTGGTGGAACGCATCCATGCGACCGCGAATCCGCCAGATCACGCCCTAGAGTCCAGACCGCGACTGCCTGGATGTGGATTCGTTCGCCGCTCGTGATAGATGATAGACCGTCTCTCTTCGGATGGGCCTCCTGGGCCCGAGTAGATGGGATCGTAGAATGCCGCCGCATCGCCGATACATCGGCACTGCGGCTCGATGTGGACCCATATTCTCTCCACGGCCTGCGTCGTCGATGCATCCCCAACATCGCCGATGCATCGGTGCATCGGTGAGGCAGCGGCGATGCGGCGCGATCGTCCAGTCCCACCCGCTCGGACCCTATCTGTCAAACAGTGGCGAAGCGTCACGGCTTGCCTATGGGCCCACCAAAGAATGTTATAATGTTTGTTAGTGGTTTGTGGTTTGCATGATATGTGTTTAGAACATGTTTGGCTGATATTGTCTTGGTCCCACACATCGGTTCTATGTTCTTAGAACAGTGCGTTGTTCTTAGAACATTGCATCGTTCTGAGAAAATGTCGTGGCAGTCCTATACGAATGCCGAGACGGTCGGTCCCTGCTCAAATCTGGAAGTCCTCTAGCCGATGCCTGTGAGCTCTCCCCCCCGTGCGGGGGCTGGCGGATCTCTCGGCCGAGCGCTTCGTCGCGGGCGGCGGCTGCGGCGGCGGGCTGCGCGCCTTCGGCGCCTCCTTCGGGGATTCGAGCGGGGGGGGCGGGAGGGGCGAGGGTAGGAGGGAGAGGGAGGGGGAGGAGGAGGGAGGGGGAGGGGAGGATTTGTGGGGATGGTGCACATGATTCAACCGCTGGTTCGTCAGGGCTCGCACTTGGCAACGGGCTGTTGCGAGGCAGACTGACAGGTAGAGCTGCGGAACTGGCGCCAAGGATGCTGGCAGTCGATGCTGCCATCTGAGGGAGGGGGGGGGAGAGGAGAGGGATGGGAGGGAGGAGGGGATGGGGAGGGGAGGAGAGTGGAGGGGGGAGGGAGGGGAGGAGGAGGAGGAGGCGGAGGAGGAGGAGGAGGAGGAGGGCGGTCGAACCGGCCCATCAGCGCCCGAAAAAGACGTCCCCGATAGGACCGAATGCGGCTCAATAGAGCCCACGAAGGATCGCAATACTGCTGAAGACGGGAGGAGGAGTAGTATGTCCGATGTGTTCCTTCTCTCTCACTCTCTCTGTCCCCCCTCCCCCCTCCCCCCCACTGCCATCATCCCCCCTATTCGTCATCCGGGCCCTCTTGGACGTCTTGTGGTTGGGGGCTTGTTGGGCCCTCGTGCACTGTTCTTGGGTGCCTCGAGGGTCATCTTGGGTCATCTTGGGCCTGTCTGGCGGGCCTCTTTGGTCGTCTTGTGTTTTCAGAAGCCCAAACATCACTGTTCTTTACGGATGGTAAGGGGCCCAGAAGCACACACAAACGCACACGCACACGCACACACATATACACATACAAATGCATACTTATTTTTTTACATAAGTACTTCGTTGCCCCCTCGGTTGGCTCCACCGACGCCTCGCCCGTCGCCTCCATGGGGCGCAATCCCAATGCTTTCGGTTGGGCGGGAGGGGCGGGGTCGGGCAAATGATGTCTCAGCCCAGTTTCTGGGTCCTGTAAACTTCTCCTGGGTGAGGGCCACGTAGGCTTGTTCCGCTGCCTCGTTCTGCAAGCCCTGTAAGTTTATTTTGGCTGACGTATTGTGCGTTGTGTCCATGTACACTTTGTTCGGGCCCCTGTCCCGAGGGCCTCCTGGCCGGCGGGGGCGACGCCGGGGACGAGGGAGCGGGGGGCCTTGCGATCGTTGCCTGCGGGTCTTCGGCCACGCTCCATCCCCTGGAGCGTGGCCGGAAGACCTGTGCGCGGGCGGAGCACAGTCAAAGCGCATAGTATTGATGAGCAATGTGTCAAGGTTGCCATTGCATCTTTGCCCCTTCGACCCATCCTTGACCAATTTCGCTGGCCAACTCCATTCAAAAATGTCGACATGGCCGTCCAAGGCCCTTGCATCCTTCTCGTGCACCCTTCTTGTACGCGTTGACTGTGGAGGGCCGCGCCGACGGTAGGCGGAACGACGCAGGGAGGGGCAGGGCGAAGGTTTTTGTTCATGCCAGATGTTTGCTTTTGTGTGTTTTTTTCTTTCTTTCCTGATGTGCAGGCCCTTTTGGGGGTTCTCTTGGGGCTATTTTGGACCTTCTTGAGGTCCTCTTGGGCCGTCTCGGGACCCTCGTGATGCAAAATTGGCCAGTATCCTTAGATTTTTAAGGGTTTGCTGCAAGATTTGGGTGCTGGCGTCATCTGTGGTTGAAGGATGTGTCGTGGCGCTGGTGGGGGGATCAGGCCAAGATTCGTAGTCCTCTCCCTCACTCCCTGCTGTAGGCGCAGACTCGGAGGACCAGGTCGAGGTGTTGCCGAACTTTGGCCAGGATGCCACCTTGTGCTGCCTCCTGGAGAGGGAAGGGGCAGGCAGAGGGAGGCAGGAAGGGGGCGGTTGCGGAAGGAGAAGGGAGATTATGGGTGCAGTCTTGTCCTGACGGCGTCCGAATTCGCTGGTTCGTTGCGGGATCTTCTGTCTCGCATCTTCTGACACGGACTCAAGCTTTCAAGCCCACACCGAGCGAGCGAGCGAGCGAGGTGGAGGAGGAAGAGGAGCCGCAGCACGGAAGTGGAGGGCGTGGGGCCAGGTATGGAGGAGGACGTCACATGGGACGCATCCGGTCCGCCGGCGGCGGCAGGGTGTCTCAACAAAGCAGCAACGATATTGCTCAACCCACGCTGCCTGGCCCGCCTTTCGCGCAACGCTTCCCTGGTCGGGCGATCGGGATCCACATCTTTGACATGTCGGTTGTCAAGTATTTAGTTCCTTGCGTGTCCCTCGTTTGCTTATCACGCTCCATGTTGGTCGCTCGTGTGATAGATAACCACGGGGTTTCTGTCTGTCTGTCTGTCTGTCTGTCTGTCTGACTGCCCCGCTTCTCGTTCCCTCCTCCTTTTCCTCCTCGTTCTCCTCCTCTTCCTTCCTCGCCCTCCTCCACCCGTCATCCTGAATATGGGGCCTGCGCCAACGCAGACGTGGTGGGTTTGAACCGCCTTTTAAATGTCCACCACGGCCGTGTAACGCAGTTTGGGGGTGCAATCTTATCTGAACTGCATGGACGATGTTCTCATGATTGATTCACTGTGGTGCTTGGTCGTGGTGATGTCCGTTCCGCCTCCTCCGTCCAAAATTGCGTCGGATTTTTTCTGGCGACGGACCCAACCATATGCAGTTACGAGAACCGCCGTTGGGAGTATCGCCTTCGGTGGATCTCTCTTGGGGGCCGCCTTCGGTGGATCTCTCTTGGGGGCCTCGAAACGTGTGAAGGGTATGCCGAAATGGGTCGGGGCGGCCATGCGGGCGCTGCCACTGAGGCTTTAGATACAGCCCCCTTATGGGGCCACGGAGCACATAAGGGGTGTGCCGAAATGGGGCGGGGCCGCCATGCTGGCGCAGTCACCCTATGGGACCACGAAACGTGAGAGAGGTGTGCCGAATTTGGCGGGGCGGCCACATGTGGACACCGCCAAAGGGGCCTAAACGTGTGATGGGTGTGCTGAAATGGGTGGGCGGCCGCATGTGGACTCCACTGCTGGGGCCTTCGGTGGAGCTCCCTGTGGGACCACGAAACGTGTGAGGGGTGTTCCGAACTGGGTGGGCCGGCAAGACCGCCACTGGGACCTTCGGTGGAGCTCCCTATGGGGCCACGAGCCACGAGACGTTTGAGGGGTGTGTCCGAATGGGTGGGGCGGCCTGTGGACACCGCCGTCCGGGCCTTCCGCGGAGCTCCCTATGGGGCCACGAAGCGTGAGAGGGGTGTGCCGAAATGGGTGGGGCGGCCGCATGTGGACACCGCCACTGAGGCTTTCGGTGGAGCCCCCTCTACAGGGCCACGCAACGTGAGACGGGTGTGCCGGAATGGGCGTGACGCCCACATGCGAACGTCGGCATTGGGGCCTTCGGTGGAGCTTCCAATGGTGCCACGAACCGTGTGAGGGGTGTGCCGGAACGGGCGTGACGCCCACATGCGAACGTTGCTTCTGGGGCCTCAGGTGGAGCTCCCTATGGAGCCACGGCATGTGTGGTGGGTGTGCGGAGCGCTGTCTCTCCAAAGCAACGAAACCACAATGCGCGGGGAGGGGATGTCCGAGCGATGGCAATATGATGCCTTCCAGATGCCAGACGGGGCCTCGCTTTCTGGGACCGAGAACATGACCTCGCTTCCTCCGAGGAGAGTGGCGGAAGCCCGCGGGAGAAGTACGATATGGGCGGTTCATGAACCGATTGCACGTTTCATGGGCAAGTTGTGCGAGGACGTCTCAGGTGGGAGTGACATGTCTCTGTCACATATGTGAGGAAAGCTCGAGCCCGAGCGCGACGAAGAGGGAAGCGGGAGGAGGGAGGCTGTGGAGGAGGAGGGAGGGGAGAGAGGAGGGAGGATGGAAGAGGGAGAAGGGAGGGCCGAGGGAACAGGTAGCCAGCACTCAGGTGAGAGCACGATTCACGATTCCTGGAAAAAATGCAATGGTGCCTCAGGCGGGATCGCCATGTCTAATTCTGGTCTGAGGAGCTCTCGAGTGAGAAAAGGAGTAGTCGGAGGATGAGGAGAACGAAGAGGATGAGGGGGACGAGGAGATCCAGCTGGAGGAAGAAAAAGACGAGGAGCTGCAGAAGCGGGAGAAGGAGAGAAGGATGAGGTTGAGTGTGAGGGTAGAAGGCGAGAAAGAGTAGGAGGATCAGGAGGAGGAGGAGGACGACGACAACGACGACGAATCCGACCACAACCACCATGACGTCGAAGGTACAGGACGATCAGGAGCAGGAGGACGACGACAGTTCGGAGGACGTTCGAATATCCAGCTCCCTCCATTCCCTGGCCGTCTATCTTTCCTCCCGCGTCTCCCTTCCTCGGGTCTCTCTCTCTCTCTCATTCTCTCTCTGCCCGTCCACGCTGACGAGAAGGAGGACGACGTACGAGGAGGGAGGAGGCTCGGGGCAAATTATGTATGTGGAGGAACAGTCGGATGGTGTTTGTGTATCCGTAAGGACTTCGCCCCCTGCCGCCGGCCCCCTCTCTATCAGAATGTGATATGTCAGAGTCGCGTCGGTGCGTCTCGGCGCTGCCTTGGCGCATCTGGGAACATCATGCGGGGGCGGATAGGAATCATCAGCGCATATTGAGATGTTGGCGTTATCGAAGGCGCCTACGGCGAATCACCGCCGCCCCCTGCCTTTCGAATCGCCCACGTGGCCGAGTGTCGTGGCAAGAGCTCTGCCAAGGTATCGGACCATGTGCTCCCCCAACCGTTGTGGAAACCCGTCGGGAAACATTTGGGGAAGGATGGCGGGGACGATCAAGATGAGGAGGAGGAGGAGGAGGAGGGGAGGAGGAGGAGGAGGAGGGGGCATCTTGGGAGCCTCTGGGGACACTCTTGGGGCCTCCTGGGAGCTTCCTGGGAAGCTCTTGGAGGCATCTTGGGGGCCTCCTTGGGCCTCTTGGGAGCCTTTGGGGGGCTTCTCGGGGGCCTCTTTGGCCCGTCTGACGCCGTGCGAAGCCGTCTTGGGGGCCTCTCTGGGCCGACTTAGGGTCTTGTTGGGGTGCTCCAGGGCCGTCTTGGAGGCCATCTTGGGCGTCTTCAAAGCCTCTTAGGTCGTCTTCGGGCCCTCTTGGGGCCGTCTTGGGTGCCTCTTGGGCCTTTCGGGGGCCATCTTGGAGGCCTCTGGGGCTATCTTGGGGCGATCTTTTGGGGCTATTACGCCGTCGGAAGGCCGTCGGAAGGCCGAAAAGGAGCACATACGAACATCTGTCAAACACCTAAGGACAATTAATGATTTTAGCCTCTTCTGTCCCTCCTGGAGGACCTCGCGGAGGCCTCTTGGGCCGTTTCGGAGGCCTGAGCCGTCTTGGAAGGTTTCTTAGGCGGACTTGGAAGCATCTTGGACTCTCTTGGGCCGTCTTGGAGGCCATCTTGGACCATCTTGGGCGAACTTGGAGGCCATCTTGGAAGCCATGTGGGGCCAGCTGGGAGCCATCTGGAGCAGGAAAACTTGTTGGAACCACCTCAGGAATAGCCTTTCGGGTGTCTGGCGGGCTGAGCCAGAGCCCCAGGGGAGAGTTCTTTTGGGGAAGGAGCCCAAACCCAAACTGAAAGGATCCAGCATATCAGTCACCCCTGTGACAAGCACAGGGGGCGGTGGATCGAAGACGCCTACGGCGAATCACTGCCGCCCCCTGCCTTCTTGGAAGCGCCTGCGTGGCCGAACGTTGAGGCCATACCTGCCCAGCTATCGGACAATGTGTTCCCCGAACCGGTTTGGAAAGCCTTCGGGGAACACGTGGCCGTCTTGGAGGTATCTTGAGGCCATCTTGGCCGTCTTGGAGGCCATCTTGGCCGTCTTGGGGGCCTCTTGGGCCGTCTTGGGGTCTTGCTGGGCCCCTCTTGGGGGCCTCTTGGCCTGTCATGGGGCCATCTTGAAGGCCTCGTGGGCGCTCTTGGGGCGATGTTGGGGGCCTCTTGGGCCATCGTAGGGCCATGTTGGAGGCCTCGTGGGCGCTCTGGGGGCGATCTTTCGGGCCTCTTGGGCCGTCGTGGGCCGTCGGAAGGCTGGAAAATAGCAAAATCCATAATCCTTCAAAACCTGAGGAAAACCAATGATTTTGGCCTCTTCGGGGTCTCGTGGAGGACTTCTTGGAGGCCTCTTGGGGGCGTCTTCGAGGCCTCTTGGAGGCCTCTGGGGCCGTCTTGGGCTGTCTTAGAGGTTTCTTGTGTGAACTTGGAGGCATCTTGGACTCTCCTAGGCCGTCTTGGAGGCCTTCTTGGACCATCTTGGGCGAATTTTGAGGCCATCTTTGGCCATCTTGGACATTATCTTGGAACCATCTGGAGCATGAAAAACCTTTGCAACTGGATTTTGGGCAGACTTTGGGGCCCTTCAGGGACCCCAGCGGGACCGGCCGAAGCCCCAGGGAGTTTTCAAAAAAAAGCCAACATCGAAAGGATTCAGCAAGACGGGCACCCCTGTGGCAAGCCAACAGTGGGCGGCGGATCGAAGACGCCTACAGCGAATCACCGGCGCCCCCTGCCTTTTTGGGAAGCGCCTTTGTGGCCGAACGTTGAGGCCAGACCTGCCAAGCTATCGGACCATGTGTTTCCCGAACCGGTTTGGAAAGCCTTCGGGGAACACGTGGGCATCTTGAAGGTCATCTTGGCCGTGTGCAGGCCATTTTGACCCTTTCGGGCCTTCTTGGAGGACGACTTGGGGCCCTCTTGGAATGCTCCAGGGTCGTCTTGGAGACCATCTTGGGTGTCTTAAAAGCCTCCTGGGCCGTCTTGGGGGCCTCTTGGGGCCGTCTTGGGGGCCTCTTGGGCCCTTCTGGGGCCATCTTGGAGG